TGTTTTTTATTATTGGATTACACTCTACTTTCTATGATTGAGTTCACTTTCATTTTAATATATCTTTTAGTTGTTTATTTTATTCTATGTGACTTTTTAATATTATTAATGTATTCTTTATCATTATTTACATTAATATTTACTACTTTTATTATATTTTCTATTTGTTCATTTCTTAATTTCTTATTTAATTTCTTATTTAACAAATTAATTCAAAACAATACAACACATCAATTAAAATTATATTTGTTTGATTTGTTGTGTTTTCTTCTCTTCTTGATTGATTATCATTTCTTGTTTTTTGATACTCAGTGTTTTGTTCTCTTCTTCTTCTATTTCCATAATTGTCTTTTTCATAGTTGTAGTTTTATTCATTTGTATTGTCCCAGATGATGATGTTCTCAGTATTTGTTGGTATTTATCATTAATATCATTGTTTTCTTCTTCTCCAGTTCCTTCTGGGATAAAAAATTTTCGATACTTTCTTGTTGTTTTGATATTATTTGTTTTTGTTCTTCATTTTCTCTTTGTGTATGGTCTAATTCTTTTCTTGTTATTTCTGCAATCTCATAGTTTTGAATCGCACTTTTTTGATATACAGAGATTTGATTTTCTTTATCTCTTATGTTCTTCTCTAGCAGCTCAGCACTCTTCTCCAGCTCATCAGCCCTCTTCTTCTCCAGCTCAGCCCTCTTCTCCAGCTCATCAGCCCTCTTCTTCTCCAGCTTAGCACTCTTCTCCAGTGCATCAGCCTTCTTCTTCTCCAGCTCAGCACCCTTAAGGAATTCGTCCTTCTCCTTCTTCAGCCTCTCATAGCTAGCTCGGAGGGTTCGGATGATTTCATCCTTACCTCCTAATTCTATGATCCTTCTACCATTTGCTTCATTTATTTTTCTTTGTAATGTATTATTTTCCTCTTTTAATTTAGAGTTTTCTTTTCTTATTTCATTACATGTATTCTGAATATTGTTCATTTGTGTTTTCATCTTTTCTATTTCTTCTTCAAACTCTTTCCTGACTGTTTCTCGTGCTTTTTGAATCATTTCATCTGAAATGGTTCGTTCTTCTTCCATCTTTTTTGTTTGAAGTTCTTTAATAGTTTCTTCTAATTCTTTAATTTTATTTTGAAGTGTGTTGATTTCTTCTTTGTTGCCTTCTTCTTCCATTTTCTCTTCTTTATCTTGTGTTTTCCCTTTATTTTCTTTTTCATTTATTATTCTTGCAGCTTTACATCTATCATTCATTTCTTTGATTGGATTTCTGTTTTTGATTTCTTCTTCAATTGTTTTAATATCTTCACTTTTCCAATCTTTTGTTTTATCTTTGAATTCTTCTTTGTTTTTCTCTAGTGTTTTTTTCTTCCTTATTGAATATACTTCTTGGAGAATATTATACCATTTCTTTTCTTTACCTTCGTACTTTTTAAGTAATTCTTCGTATTCTCCTTTTTCCCATTTTCTTGTTATTCTTTTAATTTTCTTTTGAATTTCTTTTGTTGTCAACCATTTAGGTTTCTTATTTGTATAATGTTTATTACCATTATACTTGCCTTGTTTTTTATTTGTTTTTCTTTGTGTTCTTCTTTTACTAAACCCTTTTTTCCTGTTATTTCTTTTATCATAATTATTATGCATTTTATTGCTATTGAAGTCCTTTCTTTTCTTTGAACTTGAATACCTGTGTCTTGTTTGTTTTTCTTTACAAGACCCTATGGTATTACTCAATAGCCATGGCAACAAAATTTGTTGTATATTCTGCATTGATAAAAGGATCTCAAATAAAATAAAGATATAAAATAAATAAAATAAAAGATATAAAGAAATAAAATAAAAAAAGAAAGATAAGAATAAGAATATAAAAATAAGAATAAAAAGAAATAAAGAATAAAAAAAGAATTATAAAACAAATATAAAGAATGATATATCAATCAATAAGAGAGAAAAGAATAATGTCAAAATGAATAAATAAGAAAAGAATAATAATATAAATGATAATCAATTATAATTTATTTCTACTTCAATTTATATTGTATTTCATTTATTGTATTTTTATTTCATTTATCATCATTTAAAACAATCTATTGGTATTCTTTCATTCCTCTTTATTTCTTCTTCACATCCACATTCATAAAAACATGATTTTCCAAATGATGTAATTGATGATGGAATATTAATAGATGTTAGTGATGTACAACCATAAAAACATCCGTTTCCTAATTTAGTAATTGATGATGGAATATTAATTGATTTTAATGATGAACATCCTGAAAAACAACCCCCTTCTATTTTACTAATTGATGGTGGTATATTAATTGATGTTAATGATAAACATCCTCTAAAACAAGCAATTCCTATTTTACTAACAGATGTTGGTATATTAATTGATGTTAATGACGAACAGTCATAAAAACAAAATTGTCCTATTTCAGTAATTGGTGATGATATAGTAATAGATGTCATTGTTGAACATCCGTAAAAACAATGTTTTCCTATTTCAATAATTGATGATGGTATATTAATTGATTTTAATGATTTACATTCATTAAAACACCAATCTCCTAATTTATTAATTGATGTTGGTATAATAATAGATGTTAATGATAAACATCCTCTAAAACAACTATTTCCTAATTTACTAATTGAAGATGGTATAATAATAGATGTTAAAGATGAACATCCTGAAAAACAACCTTCTCCTATTTCATTA